TCCGAGCTGCGGGGCAGTGATCGAACACCTGACGGTGTTCTGTCTTAGGAGACACCCGCCACTTTCGGACAGGTTGTCTCCCGCGCAAGGCGCGTCAAGGTTCATCGAACCGACGTCCACGCTTCTCACCAGTATGGTTTGTCGCGGGAAAACGACAACACCCAGTAGGTGCGAAGGATCTACTGGGAAATGACTGTGTTCTATTGAGCCTTAAGGAGGTAGAGGTTAGCAGGGCCCAACCCCGAAGAGCTTAGCATGGAACGTGTGTGCAAGCCGGGCTTGCTGGTCGTGAAAGCGATCGTGAAGGGCGTTGAGAAGCCATGGAAGATCCTGATCATCTTCGAGTGTCGGGTAATTATGCTCGGCGCTCCACGATGGAAGGAAGTCGGCTGTATGCTGAGATGCTGGAAGCGCGGTTGAGTGAAATCGTCATTGTTTGCTTAGCAACGGGGACATGTGTCACGGTGCCGAGGGTGGCTGTGGGTCTCGGTGTCAAGTCTTAACTTTGATAGCGTGGAACGCTGCTTAGTCTTAGACTTGGATTCGAAGTATGACCTCATTCTTGGTATGGTATGGCATGGTTGGAACACCATGAGCCATGGATCGATTGGAGGTCAAAGACCTTGGGCTACACGCATGTCTTCTGGTGGAGCTTTGTTGAGTCATGAACCCACCTCTGATTAGGTGGCACATTTGACCAGTGAACGTGCTGGAGATCGGAGTATCCAAGTTGTCGAACACTGAAGGTGTATCGGAAACATAGCTCGTGGGCTGAACGTGGAGTGACACGTAATCCACTGAGCATTGCTCACGTTTTGAAGCAGTCGCTGCATGCCACGAGTGGCATGGTTGGACAAGGACCGCGGCATCTTTGGCAAGGCCCTTCAGATACGCGTGGAGTGGCACGTTATCCACTGGATGAAGACTGCGGAGCTAGCAGCTCTTCGTCGGATGTTGTAATACCAACAGGGCTCTGGTGGAGCAGGAATTGGGGCTAACACTGGACGACGCTGAGTGCTTGTTTTCACTGGTCTCGCCAAAACGTAAAATTTCTGTGGAAAGGCAACAGCGACGTTGTATGCTAGCTGCAAGGTGCCGGTAGTCGACCCTGACCCAGGATGTGTCTACCGTGTACGAAAGAGCACAGTTAT